TTCCAGAGCAACAGGTTGGCGATTCTCTCTTCTTCTCTGATCTCTACGCGTTTGAGGGCTCTAGCGCGTTGTTCGTCTGGGGTAAGTAATTCCCAGTCTGAGGGTTGATAATCTGCTGCGCGCTGTGCTTTTTCGGACGCAAGGAGAGTAAGATAGTATTGAATTAGTTTAGCGGTTTTTTCTAATTCCACTAAAAGGAAAAAGGTAGAAAAAATGTATTTAGTTAAAAGATATGTTTTTGTGAATTTTTTATGTATTTATAATATGTTTTTATGGGTTTGGTGTTTTAGTGAAAAAAATTCAAAAAAAAAGGTGGAAAAAAAATAAATGATTTTTTATTGGTTTTATTTATTTTTTTAGTAGAAAAATAAGGCCAGGGTTTTTATCAAAAAATAAAGATTTTTCCCGGCCAGACCCCCAATTGTCAGCCTGAGTGATGCCAAGAGCTGAAACTCTTCTAGCTACACTAGGTGCAAGGATGAATTCAGAGGTGTACACGTGTGGGTGACACGTGAAAAGTGGGTAGAAGTGTGGTAAAAAGTAAATAAAAACTGTTAAGTTTTTATTTACAGAGGGGCCTGAGTTACAGGGGTTTTTAAGGTGCCCTCTAATATCAGGTCCTGGGTTACAGGGGTGGTACTGATGTTCTGGTCCTTTGTAATAAAGGAGTATGCCCAGAAATAGCCTACAACTGAAGAAACAAAGAAATAGTACTTACTAGTACTTATCTCTAAGCCAAGGAGGTCTTCAGGAGGGGGGAACTGTTCTTGAGGCGCTCAGAAAGGTGGGTGAGAGATGTTGGAGGAGTGCTGGGGAACAGGTGTTGGTTGGTTGATGGAAATTCAGGTTGATAACAGCAGGAACAGGGCCAATGGGCAGGTTGAAACTGGTTGTTGGTGACGGTTTATGCTGGTAAGTACTGATGAAGATGGGGAAACAAGGTTCAGGGGGAAGAAGGGGCTCTTAAGTACCCATTCTGGGCCTCTGGAGGCGAACTCAGGAGTCTCTCTAGTTGCTACAACTCTCCTACTAAGCCTATGGGATCTTTTGATCATCTGTAGCACCTGTAGAGCTTGGTTACAGGTGCCAAGGAGATGATGTAATGCTTGTAACCATGTTTGCAGGGTGTTATGACGAAACTGTAACACTCCTGCAGCCTATGTAAGCACTGCATGATGCATGGGTTGATCCTCAAGAGAGTAATTGTCCCAATTGGGCCAAAAAGGGCCACAGATCATCCCAAACAATTTAATACTGTAGTCTGTGCTCATGTAGTTAAGGTTTCAATGATGTAAACCTTGTTTGTAGATTTTTCCCGAACTGTATGAACCTTAATTACACATGTAGCCCCCTTACAACATGTAGTATGATGTAACTGGAGGGGTCTACAGTGTATTTTGGTCCAATATCACTCAAGGACTACAAAGTAAGTGAAGGAGTAATAATTCAGGGGTACACTTGGTGAGCTACCCTAGGTTATTTTGCATGTAGATTCAGAATCTGCAATAATATTCTGAGTTATGCTTAAGGTTCAGAAGTTATTAGGAGATTCTGGTTAAAAAATGTTATTTTCCAGTATTTATTTAATTATTTAAATGTTTTTCTCTTAAAATATTACAATGTAAGTGTACTATGTAATAATGTCTCTATTATAGTGCTTCCACTTATTTAAATAGTATATTTTTATTATTTTAAATGTATGTACATATATAAGTAATAATATCTCTAATTTATATGTAAAATGCTTTGTTCAGGCTGGCTCTGATTAGTAGCAGGCTGACAGACACTCTGAAAAAAGAGAAAAGAGGAAGAAAAGCAAGTTGAGAATACTACTAATGTTGATGGGAAGGTGTGAAAAGTTGAGAACTTTAAGGTGGATAAGAGAAGGGAGAAAGAATTAGTCTGAAAAAGAAATAATAGAAATATAAAAGAAAAAAATGACAAAAACAGGAAGTTCAGTTTTTACTCATCAAATAAGATAAAGAGAAGGCAAAACAGAGAACAAGAAAAGGAAAAATAAATGTAAACAAACATAGAAGATGTCAGCCTCTGGGTAACTAACCTGAGTTATTTATGGAGAAAGGTTATTACTATGATTTGACTGAAGTGTTTTGAGTGTGGTGAGTGTTAATACCAGTCCTGTAATGAGGAGGTTTCACTCTATCAGTACGGTATTTACTGAGAGGCTTGCTATCAACAGCGCATCCGGATCAATATGAGGTATTAATAGGCATCCAGGGTACTAGGACTCACCTAGGGTTTAGTTATTCCCAAAAGGGAATGGGCTAACAATAATTATTAAGCTTTAACAAAATTAGTTGAATATTAATATTATTTTTAATGGAATATTCAACAAGGCTATGAATACTGTGGATAAGTAGAGTTGTTGAATGTAGATTAATAACAATAAATATAGGCTTGATTTAAGTTGAGTTATGTGTAATGTATCAAAATAAATTTTAACTATGTTTAACTGGTGTCTGAATATTCTGAGGATTGATCAGTGAAAGTGGCATGGATTCTATGTTGCAGAACATTGAAAAAGGGAAAGAATGAGCGCTTAGAATCAAGTGATCGTTGGCCAGGAGAATGAGCACATCAAATGAGTGACTGATCATTATTTGTCATAATCAATAAATGGCATCATAATTGTGTACTAATTGCTCTTGATGTGTGCACTTTAACTCCTCCTCTAATAATGCAGTCATAATTGTGATCAGTACATGTATTGAATGTATTAATTCTAGGGACTTGGTCAACCAACTCCCAGAAATTGGAGAGTTGACTCCCAAACCCGGGTTTCCCCAAAATTTGGGAGTCAATTCCCCAAACTTTTCAGTGGGTTTGGGAGTTGGCCCCCAGTTAAATTTAAATAAAAACAAGAAAAAACCCTGAGGGGTTGGGTGTTGATGCCCCAAAACCAAGTGGTTAGGGGGGTCAGTGATCAAAAAAAAAACCAGCGGCCGGGAGGATTCCTCCCCACCAGGCAGATCACTCTCTCAACGGCCAAGAGAATTTCTCTCAGGCATTAAATAAGGGTATAACCCTCAACGGCCAAAAGAAACCTCTTGGCCGTTGAGGAAATCCTCTTGGACATCAAGGGTGTACAACTTGACAACAGAGAGGTACACTCTCAGCTGTTGAGGGTATACACCCTCAACTGCCAGGAAGAATCCTCTTGGACGTTGAGAGTGTATACCCTCAACGGCTGAGAGTGTACCTCTTGGTTGTTGAGGGTATACATTCTCAAAAACCAAGAGGAAAACCTCTTGGTTGTTGAGGTCTACACCCTTGATGGCCGAGAGGTTTCTCTTGGCCGAGAAGTTTCCCTCATCCGTTGAGGTGTACACCCTAAACCGCCAAGAGAAACCCTCTTGGCTGTTGAGGGTTATACTCAACGGCCGAGAGGGTTTCTCTTGGCCGTTGAGGTTGTAAACCCTTGATGGCTGAGAGAAGTTCTCTTGGCCGTCAAGAGCACTATGCATGGCCGGGAGGAATCCTCCCGGCCGCTGTTTTTTTGATCACCATACCCCCAAAACCACTTGTTTTACCATAATTTTTTACATGTCTAAAAGTGTAGGAAATAAATCTAAAATGTCAAAAAATAATGAAAATTAAGCTCTTAAAATTCAATTGAAAAATATGACTAATTACAGTATTCAGTATGAACCATTGAATTTTATGAAAACTGAATGTTGCCATTAAATTATACACATTTTCAAATGTAGGAAAAAATTTTAAAATTTCAAAAAAGCATAAAAAAATAAGGTAAAAAAATTAATGCAAGCAAAACCTGTGAACAGAACTTAAACTCTTGAGAATCCAAAAGCGATCATGTTCTTGTAGAGCATGACAGAGTCGATCGAATATTCCTTGGCTCTTTCAGAACCGCTGCTCAATCATGTGGTTATTGTACACTGGAGTCTTGGAAAAGTAATCAGCCATGAGTCTCTTGTGACCTTCAATACAATCCCAGTGTATGACCATTCTCGGCCCTTCCGGAGCTCTTCTTTCAGGGGGCCTGGAGACCGAGTTCAGGAGGAAATAGAAAATCTCCCCTTCCATGGAGTTGACAAGGTAGTTGTCCACGCTATAGGGCATTCTAGCACGGTGTTGATAGTGATTGCCGGAGATCTGAGATGTGGAGTCCAACTTACAGAGGCACACAGGGGTGCTGGCAACAGCTGGCAACCCTGAGTATCTCCCTCGGCTTTGCCTAACCAGCCAGTACCAACCTACAAGGGGGGTTTCACCCTGTAGATTAGTAACAGAGCCTTGCGGGGCTCCTTGCTTAGCTAGAGATTTAGTTGAACACAGGTGGATGCTCTCACAGACTTATTCATGGACATTTAGCCTTTTGTCTCCCAGTGGCATGCAGCTCTATCTCTGGTGCTAAGTCCACACAACTGTCACTTAAACCCAGCACATGTCACCCGGGTTTACCACTCGCAGTGGAGTTGCTCGCAGAGATTGGATCCTCAAGATTGCTTACTTTTTCTGCATGAATTTCCAACCCAATTTTGTTGGAGATTGAGAACTGAGGAGAACCCATTTCACAAAGTTTCACTACTACCTGGCCATATCTTGTTGAGGTTCATGGCTTTCTGTGCTTGACTACAGGTACAAAATCAAGAAGATGTCATGTAGAAAGCTTTGTAAGATAAAAAGGGGGTATTTATTCAGTGCAGGAAGAAAGAAAAGAGAATTGAACATAGAGATGGATGTATATGTCTACTAAAAGCTTGAAAGATCTGCTTGGGGGAACATCAAGGCTTGCCCTCACCAAGGGTTTTGTTTCGACAAGGTAGAGACTTGGTTGAATAAGTTGGCACTGCTACAAATGTTGGCGCAAATCAGAAAAAACTAGGAAAGGAAAAAGAGAGTATGTGTTAAGTGGAGCATGCAAACAGGTCAAAATAGTCGGATACCTATTTTCCTTTGCCTTGATGAGCCACAATTAGTTCTGGAATATAGGCTTGCCTAAGATATTTGTATCACAATCAATAATGACGTCTGGGTTTTCTACCAGGCTGTACTATGTAAATGAAGGGGTAACTTCCGTCGATGTGTCTTTTGATGTCCCAAATGGTGAACAACACCAGGAATACCAGTAAAGACAGTACGGCGGCAGTCGCAAGCCCACATTTGATGTTAAAACGAGCTGATTCACTGAGTTCGTAATTTCGAATCCGCCGTAGAACTTGAATATCAGTTCTGGTGTTGGACGTGGAAGGGATTGCTTCGACGCGTCTGCCCGCCCGATTTTCGGGAAGTGAGAGATCATCCCATGGCCTGTACCGCTAAACGTGCAAACAGATGGTTCAAGGTGAGTTTGCTCATGGCTTGAAGTGACTCTCGAATCGTGATCACAACTCACATCGTAATAATCGTAGTTCCGATGTCTGGCAATTGAGGTATCCTCTTCGTCAAAACTGTACCACTAGAATGAAAACAGATGATTCGAAATCAGTTGGACCATGACTGGAAGTCGAGCTCGAATCCTTGACTTACGGGAAAACGATCCTTGTGAGCCCCACGGTCGGAAGGTGAGAGCTCCTTTGACTCGGGACTATCTCGCTAAATATGCAAACAGATGGCTCAAGAGCATTCAGGCCATGGCTCAAAATGGATCTCGAATTTGTGAGCTCGACTCACAACAGGCAGATTTTGTCGGGATAATTGATCGTTTGACAATATTGAGGCCTCAGGTGAGGTCCGAATTGGAGATTGTTCCCGGGCTCCTATGTCGATCGCAACAGTATCAGCGGGACATGGAAGCTGGATCTTCACGTCTCGATAATCAGCTAGAGGTGAACGTTCTGGTGAGCCGAGCTCCGGAGGCACTCCCGTGGCGACATATTGACCAATGAGCTATCCAGTAATACCAGTGTGTTAGTTCAGAGCCAGCCATGTGTCAAGCGAAAATGAAATAAGGAAACTGACTAGGAAAAGAAAAAGAACGGATGTCATGATGAGGGACTCGATAGATGTCTCCGAGAACCGTGTGGATTTATGAAGCCAAGTCACTGGGCGAAGATAGAGTTCCTTCAAGGCGGTTGGTCATAACTTCCAAACACTCAGTGAATTGTCTCCTTTTATTGTGGAAGTGAGAAGCCCTCCTGGGGTAAGTAACCAGTGAGAGCACAGATGATTGTGATTGGCTTGTATGTACTGATAATCATCCCTGAAACCGCCCAGGTTCTCTTCTTAATTCCATTCCACCGACCCACTTCCATGTGAGCAAGTGTGCAAGCGTGTTTCAGATGGCGCCCGCCAGCCTTCATCTTATGTACAACTCACGACTCAGCTCAAGCTGGTCATCAGAGAATCGGAGCCTGCGCGAAGTGCGGAAAATTTCCGCGCGGATCTGGTCAGTGCGGAATTTCGTACTGAGCTGTACAGACCAAGAGGGCTGTACAGACGAACAGGTCCATCCGTATTGGGAGGCGGGTTTCGGACTGGTTTCATCAGTGGCCTGGTGTCGGTCAAGTATCATCATGCTACTTGGTGGAAGCTACATATTATATGATATAATAATTAAGGATTGTTGAGAAAATAAGAACGACTATTCCGAGCCCTCAAAGAAGCAAGACTAACTATTACGAGCCTTCAAATAAGCCTGGATCTGTCAGTATGTACTGAGCTCTTTGGGAGGGGAGACCGTCGTTGCTCAACAAGCTCAATGATTTGGCGCGGGATTGGTCAGCGGACTAGGAGTTACTGGTCCTTCTGACGGAGAGCGACTTTGGGATCCCGGCGCGCCCGAGGACGGTGGGGGTGGAGAGGTCATAGTGCTGTTCTTCTCCCTCCATTCTGTCCTCAGTCTCGTCGGCATCCTCATCTGACCCCTTGCAAGGACGACGGGGAGTGAAATTGCTACCAGATGCCTCGACCGATGCCTCAACCGTGCGTGGGTTGGGTTGAAAGTTCTTCCCTTGAAGCAAGAAGGATGAGAGCAAGCGGTTGAAGATGAGGGCGCCGATTTGGATGCTGATGCTGGGGTCGGTTATTGATGCTTTAATGAGATCGAATCTTCCGAGAGTGAGTTCAAATCTTCGTCCCTAAGTCTTTGAATCTTTTGATCAGAACTAAACTCAAGGGATCTCAAGACTCTGCCGGTCGCCAGCTTTCTTTATCGAGGTGAACATTAAAAAATTTCTCTAGTATTTCTCTTCATCTTCCATTAATGTTCCCAAGGCCAAGATCTTCAAACATACATACACGCAAAGAATGCACATGGCGACTCAAATCGCATCCATCAAAAACTACCCCAACGTAAACAGGGAATAGCCTTCAATCAAAGGGGCTTTGGATTGTGCGGTGGGAAACACCTTTCCGTTTTTGGATTTTGAAACACATGTGCTCACCCACTACAGAGAATACTGCAAGAAAATCAGCGAGAAAATACAGCGCTGTATTTTCCGCGGTTTCCGCGGTTTCCGCACTTTCCACCTTGCCTCGGGGAGGCTCCGATGCTCTCCTGGTCATGTAGGACCAGACCCTACCAGACCGTCTTCTGGAGGACGGAAATAATGATCCAGCCTGAAGATGTACCCACGAGAGGATCCGAATGGACTCCGCCTAATAAGCCTGTCTAAACTCTTGTACCCTGCCAAACACTCCAACAGTTTCTGTACAGTGGCGCGCGGCATTGTACTGTACAAGGTTTTGCGATGTCCGAAAGGTCGGGGCCCAAAACTTGGATTTTTTTGTGATTTTCGCCTGTTTTTGGGGGGTTGAGATGTAAATCCGGTGTCACAGCTGCTGTAATTGACCTGTGAAATACACTTTAAGCTCATGTTTATGGGTTTTGGCTGACAGTTGGCCATGTGAGTATGGGATTAGGATACCTCCCTAACCCATAAGTATGTACTAAGACCCCCATACACGACCTATGTCCGAATGGTCGAGTGAAAAAAAAAGTTTTTTTTTTTTTGGCTGGACCAAATTGTTTGCAACTTTAGATTTGGAATCTACACACCCTGTAGACTCCAAAAACACACTTATTACAAGTGCTGGACCCCCATCGGGGTCGGGGTTTAACCCCGCGCGACCAGAAAAGTTTTGCGGGCAGCCTTGTACAGTGCAATGCCGCGCGCCACTGTACTCCCCAGGAGTTATTTTTGTACCTTCGACTGGCAATGTGACAGTCGCGTGGAGAACGTGTTTCTCCTACACTTTAGTCCTTTGGTTCATTTCTAGCCCATCGTGCCGAACATGTGTGGCGAAGCCTGTCACTCGGCACCCTCTGGCCATTTTAGACCATCTCCACCGCGGCTGCTAAACCGCGCTGCCAAACCAATTATAGCAGCGCAAGCCCAATTTAGCAGCGCCACCGCGGCTGCTAAACACTGAAAATCTTTGGTACCTCGCCTCTCGGCTGCTATCGCGATACCAAATCTGGAATCAGGATAGCAGCCCAACCTGACCCAACCTCCACAGGTATCACAAGAATTTCCTGTGATTCTCTCATCCACCACCTCCCCCATATCCCCCGATATCCAAAGCCTATGGATATCCCTCCATCCAACCTCCAGCACAAAAGCCCAGAAACCGAACCCGCCATCGATCAACCTCAACCAAATGGCCCCAGCCAATGTCCCACTCGATCCGCTTCTCCAAGACCTCGGAACCCAGCAAGCCGAAAGCCAACCAAGCCAACCGAGCCAAACTACCGTTGGAGCGAGTCAAACCGAAGTAGAAGAGGTCGGAACTAAGAGATCGGCTAGCTATTCTGAGAATGAGGACGTCCAGCTATGTCGATCGTGGATTGCGATATCGGAGGATCCTTTGGTCGGTACTCATCAGGACGGCACAACCTTTTGGAAACGAGTCCACCATTCCTACTCCAAAAATCTCCCAGAATCTCGTCGAACTGCGGGGAGTTTGAAGGCTCACTGGGTTGCGTTGCAGAAGCCCATCAGCAAGTTCCGAGCCTTTGTTAACCAAGTCGAGCAATTTGGCGAAAGTGGAGCATCGGCTGAAGATTGCCTGAACCGAGCTCTTGAGCTCTTCTCCCAGGACCAGAAGGTCTCGTTCAAGTACCTCCGCGTTTACAACATACTCGTCAAGGTCCCCAAATGGAACTCGTATACGGACGAAAACACCAAAAAAAATCAACTACCGATTCAGAAAAAACGAGCTAGAAGCCCTAGTAGCGACGCGCCAGCCTCCACCGCTTTGACGTCCGAGCCCGTTTCTGATGCGGAAGCCAACTCAACCGATACATCATCCATTCAACATCCAATGGGTAAGAAGAAAGCCAAACTCCTCCACGAACTCGCTGACAAGGAAGACAGCTGGAAAGGTATCATCGCGCGCGCTCACGAGTCGGTGGCAAAAGAATCAAAGCGCCAGAACGACATCTTCGATAAGGAAGCTCAGTCCTTGAACGAGATGGCTCAGACCAGCAAAACCAACACCCAGGTATCAATCATGGACAAGGATCTGTCCAATCTCGATGACGACTCAAAAGAGTATTTTAGATTAAAAAAAAAGGGAATCTTAGCCTCTCTTCGCTCAAATACTTCATCTTCATCTTAGGGCTTGTGTTTTATCTCTATCCTCTTGTTATGTAGTTGTCTGTGATTGATCAACTCAACTCCCCATCTTTACTTGACTATCCATTTCTGCCTAGCTTTACTTGTTATATCTGCCTAGCTGTTCTACATAGTTCATCGGAGAAGAAAACCAATTGAAATCACATAGTTTGTCGAAACCAAATGAAATCACATGTTTTTTTTTTCTTGAATTTCATTGCATATAAAGTTGAATGGATTGTATTCCATATCTGAACATGACAAGCAAAACATGAGAGAGAGAAAGAAGAACCGAGGCAAAGAAGACGCAAGCGAGAGATTTAAGAAGCAAGAGAGAGACATAAGAAGCGAGAGAGAGAAGTATGAGAGAGAAGAAGAAGCGATCGATCAATAGAAGAAGCAGTAGAGAGGAGAGAGAGAAAGAATAACCGCCAGGGAAACAAAAAATGAGAGAAAACAAACAAGAAGCCGTTATTCCATTTCATCGGCTTGTCGTCCTTTGACATCCCACTGATGGCGGATGAGATCGTGTCGCAATCGGAAGTGAATTTCGACATCTTTCATTGAATGATAGTTGTCAATGAAGTCAGAGAATGAGATTTGTGTCCCTCGCGTTACTTCAACAGGAGTAATTACTTCGGCTGGGTTTTGATCGTACACGTATTCTAAATAAGAGTCTCGCTCATCCTCCACAATCATGTTGTGGAGGATGATACAACATTTCATGATGTTTGAGAGGTTTCGATGCTTCCATCCGCGTGCAGGTCGAGAGACAATCGCGAAGCGTGCCTGAAGTACGCCAAAGGCCCGCTCGACATCTTTCCGACGACCTTCTTGCATCTTGACGAAATTTTTTTGCTCTAGTCCTTCCGGCTCCAATAGCGTTTTGACAAAAACGGCCCAATCCGGGTAAATACCGTCGGCAAGGTAGTAACCTTGCTTGTAATCATGGCCGTTGATGCTATATTCACACTTCGGCGCTTGTCCGTTCAACAGGTTTTTGAAGAGGGGCGATCGGTCGAGGAAGTTTATGTCATTATGAGACCCTGGCATGCCAGATCCAAAGATCCTGAGAGGCGACGGCCTCAAGTATAACGGTTGGGGTCTATAAATCAAACCAGTCACAGGTCAGTCAGAACAAATACATAGCATACTATTTCTTTGATACAACTCACCTTTTCCTTTCCTTGAAATTGCCCAGCCCATGCCGAGGGGCAATTTTTCCACTCCCAATGCATGCAGTCCACAGATCCAAGCATGCCAGGGAAGCCTCTTCGAGCTCCAATCTCAAGTAATCTTTCCAGGTCTTCGGCGGTCGGCTCGCGGAGATATTCAGGACCATAGATGCTGACAATTGCATCACAAAACCGATCCATACATTGAAGCGAGGTGGTTTCCGAAAGTTGCAGGTACTTGTCATTACAATCGCCAGTGCCCCCATAAGCAAGCATGCGCAGTGCCGCCGTGACCTTAACAAGGGGATGGAGACCCATTCTCCCTAAGGCATCTGGTTTCTGAGTGAAGTAATTGTCGAAGCTTCAAACGGAGTCGGTTATCTTTAAGAATAATTCTTTCAACATTCGAAATCGGCGTCTGAATAATCTAGAGTCGTAGAGAGGTGTATCGGAGAAATAGTGTTGGTAGAGCTGTTGATAGGCAGCTTCAAAGTTTCGAGGTATGTTCGGCTTCTTTCCTGGCTTTGATCCACCGTGCTTGCCAAAGAGGTCATCGTAACGGGTGTCGTTGTCCAACATCAGTGTTGCAGATTCAAGGAGCATCGTTCTTCTGATATTTGCGCTGGAGGCTAGCTTCTGCCGTCGGATTATGATTTGGGTGAATTCTTCTTGTGTCAAGACATCCACAGGCGTATCGTTGTCTTCGGAGTGGTCCATGGCGGTAGTGTGTAGTGTTCTTTGGGGAGCGGGGGAGAGAGTTTCACAGTGAAGCGCTGCCATATTTGGCAGCGTGCGGTGTCAAACTTCCAAGGTGTGGGGTGCTAAAAATGTGCCGCAGTCGCCGAACTCCGAGATTTGGCAGCGCGGATAGCATTTTGCGGTGGAGATGGTCTTAGAAATGGAGTGTTGAGATACCGTGACATGTCATTGACTGCTACATGTTCACCGTATTCATTGTGCTTCTTTCTTCTTTCATTTCTCTCATGTCACACTCTGTGACATTCAGTTGTTTTGCTTCAGTCCATATACTAGGGGGTTTCAAAATTGAAACTCCAGGTTCCAGGACCTCATGCAGGTCCGAAGTCCAGGAAAAAAATACACCGCCAAAAAAAAACACCTGGCAGTTCTACTTTGAAGCCCCCGACGTGCACAGGAACCTGTCTGTCCATACCAGGAGTCCAAGACCTGGAGAGCTTTGAGACTTGTACGAGTAATATTCCTGGCCACCGGGGGCCCGGTAGGCTTATTTCCACTGTCGGGCCCTCCTTGTGGAACCACAAGTAGACTCAACAGCCAAATCGAGACTTGAGCCTCGATTCTCAAATTGCCCAATCATTTGCCCCTGATAAATTTTTACCAAAATTACTCCCTACAACTCGACTAAATCAAATCATGGTTCGCGCTCGACTTCAACCCTGGTCCACCGATGGCGTGGACGGTGGCCCCAGCAGCATCACGATACTTTTGAAGTGGCTTGCGACCAACCGAAACTACGAACGATGGCTCGGGCGCGGGGGTGAATCCAAGAGAGAACTCAGTGCCGAGATTCTCACAGAGATGAGGCGCAATGGCATCCACCATTGGGATTACCATGGTTAGTTAGAGCGGAGGTTACCTGCTCTGAAATTCCTTTTCCGATTGCATGCTGACCCCCTTTCACCTGTAGGCACACGACTGCAAATGACTTTACTTGAGAGATCACACGAACAAGCATACGAATGGGAAGGTACGACCGGAGGAGCTGTAATAGCAATGGGTGTCGATGGGAGAATGGTCTCCGTCCGAAGTAAGCCATTGTTATCCCTCCTGTAAGTAATGTGTCAGCTAACATGAATTCGTTTGGCAGATCATCTCCTCCGGATGTGCCCTGTCAGCCTTAGAGCCAGCCAAGCTGGCCAAAAGACTGCTTAAGTCCTCCTTTTTTCATTCAAGTCCTTACTGTAACTTTTTCATCTTAATCTTTTATTGCATTCTGACTTCAGAAATGAATTCCTCTGTTAATTTTAACCTTAGTCTCCCCTACACACTTTTACACTACTCCTCTCCTTCACAGACTTTGTAATATTTCACCGTACCATTGTGAAATATCTACCAAGTTGGAATTCCAACTCTCTACCACATGTACATGTTGCGATTATGTAATCCAACTCTGAAAATTCTCTCAGTAGACACTGAGTTCGCATTTTCAGGATCTTCAAGCTTCAGACCCACCCAGAACCAACTCAGACCAGAAACCCAGCACACCTCAACTTGGATTCACCGCCGTATCATCGCCGTGTTATCGTTTGGAGTCCTTTACTCTTTGGAATCTTCCCACTCTCAGTGTCAGGATCACCAAATAGTAAGTCATTCCTTCAAGTTCAGCTTGCATCTTTCTGCTAAGTTCCTTCTCTGTCTCTCTGAATGATCACATCATTCCTTTTCTACTAAACCTCTGCCTCAAACATCATCTTATCAAATCAAGTCATCTTAATTCTCTGTTTGGTGGTATAACTAAAAACCACATAGGTTTCCCTTTAAAGACCCTTGATCTTAGATCTAAAAAATAGTGGCCGGATTGATTTATCAATACCAGGAACCCTTCTCAGTTTCAGTTGAGTTAGGAGGCGTAGATTTATTCCGCTATAGAACAGCCATCCTTCCACAGGAAAGTAAGACTGCAGTAAACCTTGATTATAAAACAAATAAACAATAAAAAAATATTATTCATTTCTTTTTCATTTTCTTTCTCTCTCTTCTCCCTTTCTCTTATTCTAGTTGTATTTCTCTATCTCCTTGAAATACATCTAGAATTGCCCCCCCCATCCTTGTGTCCTGCTGTCACTTTTGAGACCCAGGCTCACATGCCCGTACTGGGATGAACTCGGGCCAATCTTGCGACCAGCGGGGGACGATTAGCAAATGAGTGATCATATTGAGTTGTAGCTACTGCATTTTTTAGCTCCTGATTGAGATGGAAATCATTCCGTGCAATTCTCCTCCAAGGACTTCCTAGTCATCATTGACATCAGATGTTTTTATAACAACTGGGGTTATCGGTCCCCTGTCCCTAGACCACCCAGTCCCACATGGACCATCCCACTATCTTGGTCCAGTAATAAAGTCTGTAGCTGCATGCCTTGTCTGTCCAAGCTCAGACTTGGGGGAACATGAGTCCGGTGTGATAGGATGGCTGTATCATCTGTTGTACAAATGATACAAGTAAAACATTTCAGCTGGACTGTATGACTGGCCCATAAGGGTGCCCGTGACTTGATCAGCCCTGAGTTATTGATCTTAGGCCCTCACCAACGACCATGGTCCGCACCTCGTATCGCAAACAGCTGACCACAACCCTGGAGAATGCAATCAAAAACGACCTCACAGCGATGGCATTTGAGTATTTGTTCAGAGAAGACAAAGGAGATACATCCGCATCCGATAAGAATACTGATGACGAGGATGACAAATGGGAAGATGAAGAAATGATCTATGCCGACCTGGAGGTTAAGGCCCGAGCTCTCCTCAAAATCCAAAGTCAGCGGTATCTAGGCCCTCGGGGACGGATCGAAAAAGCACCTGAGATGCATCAGTTTATCCTTCACCGGATGCATGAAAATCGGTTCAAGCAATTTTTTCGCATGACTTGGGCTTTGTTCTTGAAGCTATGCAGCCAAGTTGCAAGCAACCCGATTTTCGTGAACAACTCAAATCATCCTCAGCGTCCGGTAATCGAACAGATGATGGTCGCCCTGAACCGATTGGGGTGCTTTGGAAATGGTGTATCTGTTGGAATGATCGCGACTTGTTATCGAATTGGCGATGGGACTGTGGAGGTATACACAAATCGGTGCATTATGGCTATATTATCCCTCAAAAGCACCCTACTTGAATGGCCTACCGCTGCTGCCCGAGAAGAGACCAAGATGCATTTTGGTGACGTGGGGTTTGAAGGGTGTGTTGGACTGATTGACGGTAGTCTGGTTGTATTATCGACCTGCCCCGAGAAGGACGGCCCGGATTACTATAGTCGGAAGGGGTTTTATTGCATTGCTACCCTACTGGTTTGTGACCAACACAAAAATATCATCTATGTGTTCACGGGTTGGCCTGGCTGTTCTCACGATATGCGACTTATGACGAACTGTGCGCTATCCAAATCACCAAACCGATACTTCTCAGACGGAGAATACCTTTTGGCCGACTCGGCCTTTGTACCCACTCTCACGACAGTGCCTGCTTTCAAGCGCAAGAGAAACAAGCCGCTAACAGATGAACAAACAGATTTCAACCGACACCTCTCCGGTGTTCGGGTAGCCGTAGAAAACTGCATTGGGTTATTGAAAAATCGATTCCAAAGTCTCAGAGGATTACGGTTGCGGGTGTCAAGCAAACACGACATGCAAAGGGTGACATCTTGGATTATGGTAAGGGGTCATATTTTGGCTGGTATGCAAACTATTGGGCTAACATATTGAAACTCAGGCATGCTGCATACTACACAATTTTCTTAATCAAGGACAAGATTATGATTTTGAAGACTTCGAACTTGAAGAGGAACCCGAGGAAGACGGTCCGGCCCGCGGAGACGGTGCAATGGTCGGGACGGCGGCTGGGAAACGCAAGCAGAATGAGGTCTTGGAGCTGGCCCGCATGTTTTGTGAGGATGGGGGCGAATTTTGATTGCTAAGAGAAATACATGCTAGCTTTTCGTAGCGAAGATTATTCGTCTGGGAACATTGCAAGTCCATACGTCCGGCTTTCAGTTAAAGTTTGGCGGACTAGAGGATGGGCGATGTCCAAGTTCATGTCCTCGGCTATCAGACCTAGAGCAACCTCTGGTAACATGACCTTCCACAGAACATACTCGGGTGCCATAGGATGGGCTAATTTGGCTATCTTGTCTTCATGTAACCGAAACCAAGTCGTTTGGAGAGTTCGGTATATGGTCTCGAATCCCTGAGCCCCATAGCTGAGGTTGGCAAATGTCAAATGAGGACCCAATGATACAACTAGAAGAATGTAAGCTTACTACCCAGGTTGCTCAATGTCAAATGAGCCTATGTCATGAAAGACACTGAGACACCTAGTGCGTCCATGTGTCTTCCAATTCTCAAATGCGACTGCTAAGAAATGTGAATCAACCTCGCCTCGCAACACCGCCCAAAGGTGCCTGCCTTGGGCATGGACCCGGCTGTGGTGAGGCAGTTGGGTCAGCAATGACGCCAAGCGGAATCAAATCAGATGGTCACTTACATATGAAGGTGGTCAAAATCGATTTGATCGGGCCATCCGCGCTGGCGGCCCATTGGGATAACTTCAATCTCTTCGTGATGCCGTCGACAATAGTCTGCTACGACAGAGAACTGAAGGGTCGGTGGTTCAATCAGTATAAAATAAACACTTTGCAACAAAGCAATCAGGGCTCACCGGCAGGTGCAAAGCGGCAGGGTTCTTGGGATGATACCTCCGGGAAACGTCGCCGCGGCGCTTGAGATATTTACCTAACTCGATCAACTTTGCCGATGGGTTTTCTGGGAATACCTGATCACAAAATGAACATAAGGGCTCTGGGAATGTTATTTCATCAGTTATCACATAACAGAAGCGACAGTTCTAGTAAAACTAGCCGACTCACTCGGCCGAGTGGGAGGTATAAGAGACGGTTGGATGGGGGCCTCCTGCATGCTGTCATTTATGCTGGCAAGCAAATCACTAGGGAGCTCGCCCCCGTTATGTAATGCCGGATGAATCATTGCAAGGCCATCGTCGGTTTCACTAGGCAGTCGTTGCTCGCTGGTCTTTGCGCCTTCGACTGTTTGGTGATCCAGGAGATGTGCAGGCAGTGCAACCATTGGTGTGTTTGGATGCGGTCGGACTCCCACAGGTGGTGAAACATCTTCGGTCGAATTTTGACCACAAGACAGGGTACTAATCGGAGTAAAAACCAGCGGGGCCGTGTTTATTAAGCTTTGATTATTTTGAGTCAGAGATGTTGGATCGGACGAGGGGGCCGTCGGAGTAAGAGCAGGTGTGGCAAGCAGGTCGCTGTTGATATTGGAACGTTGGACCACTGGAGTTGTGCTGACCGAAGACTCAACGATAGGGTCGATCGGGTCGCATGTCGATTTTTCCCTCTTGCGTTTCTTGTGACGCCTTTTGCGTGGAGTTGCATGTGTATCATTGTCTTCATACTCGGATTTGTAGCCAATCAAGTCCATGAGGGACACGCGAGACATTGCTTCAAGCCTGTGATTGGTTTTTGATCGGTGTGGTTGGAGCCTGTGATAGGATTTTGATTGTTGTGGTTGGAGGTCAAACGGATTGCGAGCTACTCACTGCGATTCATCGGTGGCACGCACACGTTCATTGGTGTTTCACATGTAAGCTGTATTTATTGGAGCCCCACTTGGGTGATTGGCCAAAGGGACACAAGCAAGACGAGCAGACAACGGTTAACTAGTAGGGGTCACAATACGGTTGTGTGAACATCCAGAGTTACAAGCAATGACTTCAACAATAAAAACTCTAATCTGATGGGCCCAAGGGGAGGCATGGAGACAACGAGCGAGTAATAAAGAAACAAGAGGAGTCTACTTTGAAAGAAAGACCAGGCGGAGAAGAAAGAGTACCATCATTCATCGCCTCCTGAGCCATCACTAGAATCACCGGAAGACATTTCATCGGAGTCGGAGAGCAATTCAACAATCTGTTTCTTCTCTTCCAATGAAACCGGGCGATTATTGCTACCTTCACCTCGACCAATGTTGAATTGCGCCGCAAAAAATTCTTTGATTTCCTCGGTTGAGTGGCCGAGTTCCTTCAGATCTTTCATGTTCTTGATTCTCTTATCAATCTCATTGGACTCAAATTCCCTAATTTTCATTAGAGCTTCCCTCTCCGCAAGCTTGATTTTACGCCTCTCCACATCAATCATCGTCCTATTGCGGGCCGCCTCCAGCTTGATTCGTTTCTTAGTCGCCTCCAATTTATCCTTCTCGGCTGCCTTTTTATCACTGTCGCGTTCCTTGCGCACCTGTAAATATTCGCCTCGGAGAGGACCTTCTCCAGTCCAAGGGGATCGGTACCTACAAGTCAGAAGATGATTAGGAAGCCATTCACCGAGACAGATCCAAGTTGCAATGAGCAGATATGACTCACTTTTCCGCGAGGACTTCATTTTGGTTCCACCCGACCGAGCAGATGCCGCTGCCGACTTGGTCCCCACAACAGGCGGAGTATCAGGTTCATCGTCCACGTCTGGTGTGTCAGCTGGCTCTGAGGTCTGCAAATTTGGCTCGGAGGCAGCTGCAATAGTCGCTGGGTCCTCGTCGGTGTTATCATCCGAGTCCGATTGGCTTAGGAGGTTGGGTACGTCAAAAGAAGTTGTCTCGGTTGTGTGTAAGGGGATTGCCACGGTGCGAGTTGCCATGATTGGATGAAGCTCATCCCAATATTTGCATAACTTGACCAACGCCACTGTGAGGCCGAGTGAGCGAGCACAAAGATCATGATTAAAGATGTCATACACACAAGAGTGAGGAAATAAAACGTACTCTCAAGCGTCTTGGTGCCATTGGCTATATCTTCTTCTTGAAGGCCTGATCCCGTATTGCGGAGGAAGTCGCTCGCTTTGGAATAGGAGTTTTGGAGTTCTTGAATCTTGGTTTGGATACCTTTATTGTCTCGGTGGGTGATCCCACAGTCGGCCATCAAGGACAGAATCTCGTTCGCTAATGCCGACTTAGTAGACCCGGCCTTGGTGTCCCCACGCCATCGCTGGTAGTTGCCTTCCACCGCAAGCCAATCGAGGAGGACCCGAATGCTTGAGAAGCCGTCGGCACCATCTTTGTCCCATGAGACGGCGGGTTTCTTTTTCTTGGTTTGACTGGGAGGCTGACTGGGTGTTGCAGGAGGAGGGATTGTTTTCTTTGGTGGCATGTCGGAGGACAGTACGATTCTCAGCGTGATGTCTGGTAAGTGGTAGTGGTGAGTTGGAGTGGGGGGTACGTGTAACCAGTTTGGTTTGGGTGAGCAACAAGTGAATTTAGGGGGACCCCGACGGGGGGGAGTCGTCTGGTAAAATTGATCAAGATTAAAGCCTTTTGTCGAGTTTCGTCCTGTTTTCCTGGACCTGTGGGTCACCTCCTGCAAGGCCAGAGGTAGAAGGAGCGCAGGCCCGCAGGAGACGTTCCAGGTCGGGATTTTTTCCTGGATTTCTGGACCTGCGCGAGCTCCTGGAACCTGGGATTTCTATTTTGAAACCCCCTACTGGATTCATGTGTGCCTGGGAGGATTTCCTTTCCTCATCCTTTCCAACACACATGTCTCCAGGTATGGTCCTTTTCCTTTTTCTTTCTCCTTTTTCTCTTGTTATGTTGAAATGAACTCTGATCCTTTCCAACACACATGTCTCCAGGGTGTTCATCTCAACATGGAGGAAAAGCGGCTCCAGGTCTTGATCTCTTCTTCCTAGCATCCTCAATTCTCGCGTGCTTCTCTTCTCTACATAGTTATCTTACAACACCTCTGCAGGCTCTCCAGTGTCATCAGGCCAGTTGACAATTAATAGCCTCTCAAGCTGCACACGTTTGCCAGTCTTGATAGAATTGAACCTCAGGCTCAAGTCAATCCTGAACTTAGAAACCGTGGCCCACACCTCAGCAGCCAAGCGACGTTGCTGATGGGCCAAATATGACCTGCTGTATTTGAACCTCTGCACAGAGTTTGGGCATAAACCTAAATTATCAGAAAATGTTGCCAGGAAGTGGAAGGATGGTGGTTCAAGCCAGACAGGTTGCTTAACTGACATGCTAGAGGGGTCAGGTTGCACTGAAGACTGGACAATCATTCCGCTGATGCTTGATCTGGTTCATCTTTCGTCTGAGGCTGCGGCAGTGCGGCCCGACGCGCGACCTTGCTTGCGGCCCCCCGCGGCGCGCTGCGCCCCCCCCCCCCCCACATCCCGGCCGTCAATATTTTTTTTCTGTCTTGGCACACTTATGGCCAAAGCAGGTAAACCGGCGGGAACACCTCACAACGACTCAGGAAGAACTATTAAGATTTACGATCAGATTCAATGGCCACAGTCATCCCACCACCGCCCAAGAAGAAGGCCAAGTTCGAGAAGTTGAATGCAAACACCCTGAACGATGCGATATTACCTTCATTCCCGAACATAATCGTCCAGTTGAAGGATGGAAGGACTGGCAAGCCTATCGGATCGAGCATCTCACTGCCCAGCAATACCGACAAACGTGGCCTCGAACTACTCGTCAACCAGCTCAAGAAAGACCAACGAGCCAAGAAACCCAAGCTCAGCCATCAGGAGCGGAAACAACTGGCCGAGGAAGAGAATGACGACCAGCAGGACGATGATGATGATGATGAAGCTGATGTGAACCTTCCCTGGAGCTTCTCGTTGACGTTAAAGAAACCCCTACCACCAAAGCTGCCATCTGGCCCGGAAGTGCCATCTCCAGAGGAAGAAGAAATTCGGATCCCAATCTACGAGTCCCTATCAAAAGACTTATTAATAAATCACTCAAATTTAATCTCCACTGAAGATATCTTAGTGATAGACTGTGAACCTGAAGCGATTTTTAGAGTTCGTGAGGTGAGAAGATGTAGCAGTAGTTTAGCCGGTATGACTACTAAATCAGCTTTCTCCTAAAATCATATGTTTGACCATGAGGAGGAAACTTGACTAATTCGTTTGAACTGTTTCTAAATCTTCTAGGCCATTCTGCCCCGATCCTATGCGCCTCATTTTCGCCGACGGGGACATATTTGGCAACGGGATCTGGCGATAATACCTGTCGATTATGGGACCTTTCGACGGAGACCCCAAAATTCAGTCTAGCCGGTCACACAGGCTGGCTATTGTGTGTTGAATGGGACGGATGCGAGCGGTTGTTGGCGACGGGCAGCATGGACAAGACAGTGCGGATATGGGATCCACTGACGGGGAAACAGATGGGCACGCCCCTTAAAGGACATTCGCAGTGGATTACCAGTCTAGCATGGGAGCCAATCCATCTGAATAGCGAAACCACTCGACTCGCAAGTTCCTCTAAGGATGGTACCGTGCGTGTCTGGAATCCACGTACCGGTATGACTCAATTCGCCCTAGGTGGACACACCGCTAGCGTCAACGCCGTCCGGTGGAGCGGCCAAGGGATCTTGTTCACTGCCTCCTCCGATCGGACCGTCAAATGCTGGGATGCCAAGGACGGTAAACTGATCCGAACATTGAATGAGCATTCTCATTGGGTCAACACGCTAGCCTTGAATACAGACTATATCCTGCGCACCGGTCCATTCGATCCGAAGGACACCGCCAAGCCTAAATCAAACGAAGCCGCCAAAGAAGCCGCCCTGAAACGATACTCATCCTTTACCTCCCTCGCTCCCGAGCTGTTGATCTCCGGTTCAGATGACCACACTCTTTTCCTGTGGCCATCATTGGACTCTGCTACTCCCAAAAAACCACTCGCTCGTCTAACCGGTCATCAAAAACAAGTCAACCATGTCGCTTTTAGCCCCGATGGAAAATTCCTCGCATCCGCTAGTTTTGATAACCATATCAAACTATGGGAGGGTAAGACTGGAAAGTTCATCGCTACGTTGAGAGGGCATGTTGCGCCTGTTTACAGACTCTCGTGGAGTTGCGACTCTAGACTATTAGTTAGTGCAAGTAAAGACTCAACTCTTAAGGTTCGTGAACATACACTTTTACCTTATATTTTGAACACATTTCAATCTTCTTGAGATGTTGATTTGGATCACTTCTTTTGTTACTTTAGCTATGGGATCTCAGAACACACAAAATCAAAGTCGATCTACCTGGTCATACTGATGAAGTATATTGTGTGGACTTTGTGGCTGACAAAGTGGCGAGCGGTGGGAGGGACAAAGTCGTGAAGATGTAAGGAACCTCCCGCTCAATTGCACACTGGCCATCCATTTCATTGACACGTTTTCCTTCTTCTTTGTAGATGGAAGAATTAGTGGAAGCATTCAAGCTCTACACAGCCACCTAATTTTGGATTTCTGTTTTGGCAAGAGGCCTTTGCCAAATAGACTTTATCTGCAGCCTGTTTTGTCTGACATCTTTCTTGGCTGGCGCTCAGCTTTTAACATCAAAAAATTGACAGCTCAAAAGTTCAATTCAACTCATTTTTTTAACCAAGTATCCTCTGGAATTGCAAGAATTCATTTTTTTAGTACTTGCTCTGCATTTTTGAAAATGAAAAATCGGGCGGAATGGCACACATGCAGGGAATTCCCCCCCCCCCCCCCCAAAAAAAAAGAAGAAGAAGAGAGAAAACCATGCATGGATGCAGTGATAGAGCTTCTCATGGGAAAGTTTGACTTGACAAAAGCATGTCACAAGCACAAAGATTCAGTATCATTTACATTTAGATGATAAATATAGGAAATTGTGCCTGAATGAAGTTTTTTTAAAGATGTCCATGTACTGGATATGTGATCTTCTTTAAGATTTGTATAACATGCAAACCCAGCTGGATCATAATCTGAAGCTGTATAGTGCCCCACATGTCCAGCTCTTGGCCACTAATCTATGCATGAAACTGCAGTTCCAACATGCTACACAGATCTGACTTAACTAAGCCTCCCAGGACTGGGGGTGCAGAGCACCCCGATGCGAAGCATCTCCCATTCCCAATGGGAGGCTTATGAGTTATTGTGGCTTTCCTTCTTGAGAGCTTCCAAAAATGTGTGGCTTTTGAACAAAAATTTCAAATCAATTCGCATTGTGAGATGCATACTCATCATGAGACAACGAGGAGAAGGGCAGTTTGTAGCTGAGCATCTCATGTTGAATGTAGTATCACTTGCTCCCTACCTACACTTGTAGGAGGGTGCTGCCCTAGCCCAGAAGCTGAGGTTGATGGAAGATGGAATTCTGTATTGCAATTGAGTTTGCTCGGAATTTTTGGGAATTCACACACATCACTCTGGTTGAACACACAAAAAAGGAAGACTTCAAAGGGGGAAGGGAGGAGTGCGTGAAGGAGGAAAAATATGTGATTGACACCAAAAAAAAGAGAAAATTAAGGCCTTGAGTTTGATACCACAGGCGTCAAGAATTTGTGGGGAGAAAGCAACAGACAAGTGAGGGGAATTTTTCTCCCACCAAAAATGCAAAAGCTCCCAGGCCAAAAAACAGATATCACCTGCAAGTCCCTCCTTTGGAGGTCGCGCTTTGCGCGAGGGCGCTTCACGCCAGCCCTGTACCAGGGCCCTCTGAAGCGAGGGACTTGTGTTAAGTCAGAAACAGATTGCATTTGAGATTATGGTTATGTGGAAAGGCAAGCTTGCCACTTCAGGGTCCAAATTTGAGTTGCATCGGTTCTGATCTGTTTTTGTGTCTTTTGTTTAAGAATCACCTCTCATTTTAATATTCAAAAATTCCACTTGGAATGAATTTCAAAATCTAGATACTTCTATGGTATGTAATTTTATTTCCATGAAAAAATCTTGCTTAGGACATGAGCATATTTCCTTGAAAGAATTGAAAGAATGGACTCTTTCCATCCCCTTATCCATGAGCAAATGAACTACATAGAACAAGAATCAAAGGACATGAATAAAATTTCCATTCACATCAATCAATTGAATAAAATCACAAATGCAACTCATTATTCCAAGAAGTTGGATAAAATCATGATTGAAATGAAGGCTATTGAAGAAGAAAATAACTGAAACCCCCAAGAACAACAGGCTGGAATGTTTATCAATTGTTAGCTTGCAAGTGAAGAACCCTTTCAAGAAAGTGGCTTGGTTGAAGATACAGTCATATCAACATGGTCTACAGTTTGAGAGTCTGAGATTGTCTACTTGGATGAAGTAGTTCCAGCTGGTCAATCCATTTGAAAAAGAAGAGGGAGAAAGAATTTATTTTATTTGTAGCATTTCTATGAAGCTCCATAGAGATCGTTCATTCGTACTCAGGTACCTGTTGAATTTTGTCAGAAAATAGGTACCAAGTACCGCACCAGGCACCTCCAGTTGGTACCAGTGGTACTTTTGGCAGGTACCGCGGGTACCTCCCCTCTCTTTTTCACTTAGTTCCACTAGCTATCTCAACATTACTTCATATCCTGTACTAGATATGTGGTAAAAGGAAACTGGATTTGCTGTTTGTTTTTTAATTCTTCACACTATTTTAACAAAAAAAGGAAAAAATATTGCATATCCAGTTTTTTTACTGCATATCCAGTACTGGATATGAAGTACTGTTGAAAGCTTATACAGTCAATTTTTTCAATTTTTTCATATTTATTATAAAACATGCAGCCCTCCCACCCACCCTATGTTAGGGAAGTGGGGTTGTACCCGCGGTACCCACGGTACCTCCTGTTTTTTACCCCCAAAAACAGACACCTGGCACCGCACCTGGCACCTCCTGGCAGGTGCGCTGCGGGTGTGGGCGGTACCCCCCAAGCGGTAATAGGTACCTAGCAAAGGGTACCACAGAACAATCTCTAAAGCTCTAAGACAAACAAAAAATCAAACACTAGCTTTTATGTACAGCACCTTGACAGAGAAAATGTAACCCTTTAAATGGATTCTAGAGGGAAAGCCTATGGACTTCAATTTATGCTTCCCGGAAAAGGTTTGTAAAATGAATTGTAAAGGATGATACTGAAAAATTGGACAGGAAAATGTTTTGTAAAAATTTTGAATATTTTTCCTCATTTTCTGATTTTTTGGGATTTTTCAATTGTTTTTTTTCAAAGTAGCTGAAAAAAACATGATCAAAACAATGGCATGGAAAATAAATCTTTGCAAGTATGTTTGGATTGTGTCATCCACCAGACCAACCCTGAAATCAGGCACTGAAAATGTCAAATTCAATTCCAATCTCAATCCAACTTTTTCTGCTCTCTGAAATTTTAATCATTTGTCTTTCTCAATTTTTCATTCAAAATCATTCTTTCTTCATGCAAATGTGTTGATCTTTTCTTTTTTGAGCTACTTTGACAAATGATTGAAAAATACCAAAAAAAACAAGTCAAAAAATGAAGAAAAAGTTACAAAACTTTTACAAAACTTTCTTCTATCCAAATTTGCTGAATCATTCTTTGGAAGTTATTTTTCACAGTTTCACCAGGAAGTGTGAATTCCAGTCTATTGGCTTGCCCTCCAGACTCAAACTTAACAAAGTCCCTTGCTTTGGAGGGCCTGGTGGCCTTGGCTGGTGTGGTCGCCACTTGCGCAAAGCACAAGCCTCCAAAGGAGGGACTTAGGACAAAGACAAACATCCCCGCATGTCACAGTTGGGCACTTTTGGTGTAACACACATTGAGCTGGATGTACAGCATTTAAATCACCAGCTATTGAGGATTTGAGTAGAAAAGCTTTTGGAGCTTGGTGATGCCTCTGACCTCATCCAATTTTCAGAGATTTATCTTGAAAATTGGATGAGGTGGATTTTTTTAAGTTGGTCAAATTAAGGAAATTTTCTCACATGGTAGGCAGTGAGGTTGAGACTGGCTTATTTAAGCTCAGCCAACATGTCATTTACCAACTTTTCCTTTGAAATCATTCCACTGTTTAGTTTTATTTTTTTTTCCCAAAATTTCTTGACAGAACTCAAGACCTCCATGTTGGGTATCTTCAGTCCAGCTCAGTTTTCAAGAAATCCACAAGCTGGATTTTATATAATTTTTGGCGCAAAAAAAAACCAAAAAACTCAACCATGACACACGGTTAGAGATGGTTGCTGTGCATCCCAATATCCCCTTGAATTTATAGCAGAATGGGACATCCACATCTGCTGGCAGGTATCCGGCGTCCACAGCGGGTATCCACAGATACCCGCCCTTTCCATGGTTGGATAGGCACAACCTTGCTGGCTGGAAGGGTTTCCTTCCAGCCGGCAAGGTAAAACCCTTCCAGCTGGCAAGGTACATGTTCCTTGCGTGCTGGAAGGAAACCCTTCCAGCTGGCCCCTCTCATCCTCTTGGCACTAGGTATCCCTGGAGATACCCAGATATCCGCCAGGATTTGAGGGGAAAGCAGCCATCCGTACCACCTGGCGGGTATCCGCCAGCGGATAGTGGTTATCCGCAACGGATACCCTGCAACCATCTCTACTCTCATTGTCTTGTTGTTGCATGTTTATATGTACCTTGCCGGCTGGAAGGAAAGAATTCACGTTGACGGGGTACATGTACCTTGTTGACCGGAAGGGTTTCCTTCCAGTAATTGACAAGGTAATATACCTTGTTGACTGGAACAAAAACCTTCCAGCTGGTGAGGTTGTGCCTCACCAACCATGGAAAGGGGATATCTGCTGCAGCCGCCGGATACCTGCCAGCTTATGTGGATGTCCAATTCCGCTAAAAAAGCAAGGGGATATCCGGATGCGCAGCGACCATCTCTAAATGAGAGTCATGGAAAATGCTGAGGATACTTGACCTGCTAATGCAAAAGAATGGATCAGACAGACTCTAATGGAAAATGACTATAGGCTTAGGTTTTTAATCTGAAGGGAAACATAAAATAGATTTAAAAAGGAGAAAAAAACATAAAAACATAAAAACACAAGAAATACCAAGAGAATGAGATTAAAAAAGAGAAAAAATAAATAGAATTCAAGACTGAAAATGTAGCTCAACTTCCTCCCCCTAAAATCTAATTCTCTTCCCGGTGTTGATACCTGATGGAATTTTTTGGGCTGATTATATGGGCCAATGAGAGTGAGTTGAGGGAATCAGAAGAGATTGAGTTGAAATTTAATATTACGTCTGAGCCCTTGAGTTACTTTCTTCTTTTCTTTAGATCTTCTGGTATTTGTTATTGATGGAAGCCAGTGCAACCAATGAGCAAGTGTGAGTTTCAGGTTGATGATGTGGAATCTCTCCTCCCCATCTCCCAGCAATTTCCAAGTTTAGGCAAGCATTCAAAAACACAGATGTCACAGATGCCACATGTAGGTGACATCTCAATTTACAACATTAATATTGTTTGAGTGAATTCCATATTAACTAGGATTCCCTTTACCCATCCAGGTCTTTTTGCAGTGGTCCAAGAACCTCCAAACCAACTCTGGCCTGTGGATCTCATCAGGAAGAGATATGGAAATGAAATCTTTCCAATGAGCTCAAAAGCAAAATTTACGAACTACAAAAAATTGGGGGTGATCATCCATACATTAGGTCGTGATCTACATTTAGGCAGCAAATATAAACTTTTTTTTTGTTTTTTTGTTTTTGTTTTTGAAATTTCTTTTTTCATGTTTTTGAAATGAAATGATAGTCAAAAACAATCAAAAATTGTTCCAAACATAATGCAATTATAAAATTTCACAGCTAGTTTCTGTTTAACCAGGCCAATGTTTGGAGCACTGTCTTTATGATGTACCGTTGTATAGCAGGATACAGCCCATAATGGATGTAATGGGATTCCATAAGGACTTTAATGAAATCCCATAAGACAATTTTTGCATTTTTACCTTTTCAAACAACCTCCTAGATGTTGAAAAGTTTTTGAGATCACTTTTTGTTAGCAAAATAAGAAGAAAAAAGCATAATGAAAATAATCAAAAATCAAAACTTTCTCCAAGACAACCTGTTTAAAACTTTTGCCTTATTGTGAAAGGAATGGTACATACTTTATATATTGAGATACACAACCATTATGGATGTGAGTGCATTATTGTTACAAGATAACTACATATTGGTGTGTTCATGTTTGAATAGCTGAATTTTTGAGTCAAGTTTTATATCCAGGTTGCATTCTGTAAGTGGGTGGGTGTAGATATAATTATCATTTGCTTTTGATTTTGTGCAACCATGCCAAATTTTCCTAGTACTGCGGCACCGAAATCTGTTACACTTTATGATATAGACTGTCTTTTTTCCAACACACGTGCCCGTGTACGGGCCATGTCTGCAGCTCAAGCGCGCGTCGCATACCATTTCCTGAGGTTCAATTCTGTGTATATAGTATTTACGGTTGCAGTCGTGGCACCGCCTCCCTAGAACGTCCTTGATGATGTCTGCTGGATCTTTCATTGATTGGTGTAGAGTGGGTGGAAGGTATATATGGAACATTGCGAGGAAAGTGAAACTGTGGCTAAACCACCGCATGATTCGACGGGCTTCTGGGTTTCAGCTTGAGGTAGGCTTGTTGATGATGTCGCTGGGAATCGATCCCGCACACTGGCAAGGGAGGATGTTTGATAATGGGCTTGAATGACCTTTAGTGATTCCGGTTGGAATATGCCGGACGGCCGCAGGCGTGCACGCTATGATTGATGGACAGGTAAACCGGCTGTGATGGCTTCGGGAATTGCCGGGCTTTAGAAATCAAGCATTTCTCATTCAAAGCTCATTATGATCGAAAAAGGTGTGTCATCTTTGAGCTTATGAGAATGAATTGACCCGAAGCAGCATGAGGACGGGACGATGACCGTTAAATTGCATGAATGAAGGTAGATTAAGGACCTCATGGTGGCATGAGGAGAGGCAACACCTTCATCACACTCTTAACAAATCGTGCAACCAAGGCTCCCGAGGGAAAAAGCGTGTTAAATTTCCAGTTGAAGGGATCACCTTGGGGATCCGATCCTCTGGAATTCTCCGCTTGATCCATTCGAGAGAGAGGCGTGCAATGGATCAAAAAACGTGCATCCTGTTCTGTGGGTTAGTAGACCTTCCCCCCCCCCTCAGGTCAAAAAAATCTTTGAGCGAATCAGTTGTCTGTGAGCGGAACGAGGCCTGTATTCCACCCTTCATATAAACATGTTCTATGATACGCCCTGTTAATCGAGAGTTTTAAAGGGAAATTATTTGATTTCCATATCAACGGGGAGTTTTTTACCAAGCGCAACGGATAATTAGTCCCCCGTAACACAGTACATTTTTTCTTCGTTCCCTACGCGAAGCTTGTCCACATGTGTTGTTAGTGTCGCACAGAAACTGTTCATTGTTTATTGATGTCAAGGCTAAGGGCATTCGTATTAATAGTTAGGATTGAACCCTTCACCAGGGGCGAGGTGCTGGACACCGATGTAGTATATGCACATCCATCTCTCGCCATCAACTCAGCTGTCATCATAGGGACCGAAGTAAAATGTGTGCAATGGGTTCCCTAGTTGGTTAGTGCCTTGAACCGATATCACAGCTGTTGGATTCAAATAGAAAACTCAAACCCAAACACTACACCTCCAAGCAAGCTTATAACACCTTATCATCATACGTTCGGGTGCGCTCTTCCACCAACACCCTTCTCATTCCTGTGAGTACCTATATACAAGATGCTTCTTTCCAATGAAATCCAAACTAACCAGAGGAGCCATTTCTCTTATTATGGTGCCTAAGTTTCAGCAGGTTGACCGCGCATCAATCTCGTTGACGATTCCCAAGGCGGAAAGAAAGTGCGATTGTTAACAAATTCCCCCCTGAAGCATTTTCATGACTTTCTAGACGATCTTACAGCGCATTTCAATGATACCAACCAATGATTGCGTTGCCGCCTCTAATCGGACATTCGAATAAAAGACATGAGATCACTCTCATTCTGCTTGCAGCTAGTATCTATCTCGCTTATCCTCTTGACTTGCCATCGCACCAAATCTACTCCCAACGCCAAGCCTCTTCACATTCCCCTTCGCATTGCCGCCCCTCATTTGACTAGAAGGGAAAATACAAATGACTTCCTTGACTTTGAAACTTGGGCTACGCAGGCCGGTTCCAAACTCAATTCAAGGTATGGAGGACAAACAGACACGGACACAAACCCCTCAGAAATCAAACATTCACTTCATCCGCGCCAAGTCGCCAACGTCCGTCTCACCAATGCCTTCTCTGACGCCATTTACACTGCACCCATTACCATTGGCACACCGCCGCAGAGTTTCAATGTAGGTTGTGTTGTATCGCCTTGTTGCTTCCTCGAATCAGAATACTGACTATGTCCCTTTTGACACAACACCTATACTTCGAATTGTAGATGATTAGTCAGCCAGATTTGTTTCATTTATTATTTTTGTTTTTAAATTATGATTGCTAACAATTTTTTTATTCCAATAATTAGTGGATACGGGCTCTGGTGATTTATGGATTGCTGATTCTTCATGCAACATAGATCAGGGTTGCCCTGCCTCTGCAAGAAAGTTTGACCCACTGAAATCGACAACTTACGTGAATCAGTCGAAAGCCTTTAATGTTCAATATGGCTCAGGAAAAGCACAAGGCATTCTGGCCAAAGAATCTGTCAGCGTCGGCGGCTTGACCGTCTTAAGCCAACTACTCGGCATATGTGATTCAGTGGAAAATATACTTCGGCCGGGACTCGACATCAGTGGAATAATGGGTTTAGCCTGGAGCGGAATCGCCAGCAGTCCTTCCACCCCAGCCTGGGAATCACTTTTCTTGCAAGATGCACTGAGTGAACCAGTGATATCCTTTGCTCTCTCGAGGTTGAACCGTAGTCATACCCAAAGTAAGCTCAAGCTACCTCAAATTACTAGGCCACACGTGAAGATTAATCTAAGAGTGCATCGGCTATCTCATTTAATTTAGCGACCGCGCCAGGTGGTACGATGACTATCGGTGGAACGAACAAACGTCATTACGAAGGTGGAATTGATTATGTTCCCCTCGCCAAGAATCAGTCATACTGGTTGATACCCTTAGAGTCTATAACTGTTGGAGGCAAAGCTGTGGAGATTGGAACACCAAACATTGCAATTGATACAGGTACTAGATTAAAGTGATGAACAGACAATTTGGTAGCAAGCTGACTTTCGGAACTTGGAAAAACAGGTACTTCTTTGATAGGGGGCCCAGATGAAGACTTGAGGACTATTTTCTCGGTCGTACCCGGAGCAGCACTAATGCAAGATGGTAGCTTCAAAGGGTGAGTTGATTGGATATTTGCCTTTCGATGTGATTCAATCAAGCAATCACAAACAAAACTGATTGGACCTACTCAAGTTACTGGACTATACCCTGCAATAACCCACTCACGATTTCGGTTCAATTTGGATCCATTTCATATCCCATCAATCCACTTGACGTATGCTCGACTTGTAAATTGGGATAGAATATCTGCCTCTTACTAACTTTCTTGCATTACTTCACAGACTAACCTGGGAAAAATCAATCAGAAGAACCGGTGCTTGACGTCTTTTTTTACTATCAGCAAATCGAAATCAGGCGGAAGTATACCCGGATGGATTTTTGGGGCGGCATTTTTGGTAAAATAACACTTATCAGGCAAAAAAACTACGAATCTGGTGTCTGAATGCATGAATTTATTATTTTGCTCCTATAGAAGAATGTATATTCCGTTTTTCGAGCTTCACCCCCCTCTATCGGTTTTGCCCAGCTCTCATCAACCTTCGTTGGAGAGAAAACGCTATCACCCAGATTAATCAGCCAACACCCACTCGAAAAACACCCACTCAAGCAAGCGTCCAAAGAAGCACACCGTCCTCAAAACGGGGGCTCAAATTTGAGCTCGAAGATCCCACCGATAGGGCTGTTGGTGATTTCAACTGTAAACCTTCTTTTATTTAACCTTCAAATTTCCGTTGGCCTCAGATGGTTCATTTGAACAAGCAGCCAAACCACTGCTTATATCATGACCTTCGAAGCCTCGAATTTTCAATTTCCAAACCATGGCTGGCCTACAATTATTGATAATTAAAACTCTAGCGCAAGTTTTCGGAGCCTTTCTCCAAATGCTAAAACCCCTTAATATTTTAGATCTTCCAGCAGACGATGCTACTCAATTTTTTTTCCCGTTGAATTTTGAATCTTCTCGAGTCGTCGGCCTTGTATCAATACATCTCACTTGTACATAATCATCAATATCATGCAATATGGAACGACTCAGTTGTTGGCGAGTTCCATTTTTGGACAGGCCTCCGCTCTAAATAGATAACTTCTTGTGATGCATTGTACCTTTCTAAAACGCCTTCTGTTCCAATTTTTCTGTCTGCTAAATTTTCTATAATTGGGAATTTTCATCTCCAATATCTATTTTTCTTGGTACAATTTGATCCCTTGGATGAAGAAAATTGTTTGACTTTTTCATTGAAATTATGTTATAAACACCTTTGTATTCTTCATATCTATTTTTTCTAATTTAGTTTTACTGATCAGGAAGTAAATAACCTCAATCTCGTAAAGCTTCAATCAGTAATTTCACAAATTTGAGACTTTATAATTTCAAATTTGATCTAAAATTTGATTTCAAAATTGGAAGCACAAGAGGAATATATATGAATTAAACCAAATCAAAATGTCAGATTTGACAGACACTGGGACACTAGCCCAGGTGTCTGCAAGAGAGTGAAACCCCCTCCAGAGCATAGAAAAAATCCAATAGAATATCAGATTAACAGTGAAAGTAGATGACAAGGGTGTAAAAGTAGTATAAAACCATGAGTATTTATCACTTGAAGTCATAACTATGGGTTTAAGTATGGCTTAATCTGTGCTTGTCATGTATGTGTAAATGAAAAAAATTAAACTGCTCACTCAAAACCTTAGTGTTAATATTTTTGAACTCTACACATCTGTAGGAGTTCAAAATTGTGATAAAATTAAGTGTCAGGGCATAGGCCCCGCATGTCCAATTTGGATTTTGCAGGTGGTGCATGGTTGATCTATGCTGTATGCAACTTTATGCAGTGGAGAATTTGAGTTGAGTACCACATAACAGCGCTAAAACAGAAGCAGATGTGACAATACCTAGCATTTATTTGTACTGTCTCAGAATTTGAATACCCAAAAAGACCAATACTTGTTTGTCTCATTTTCCTGAGACAATACACATGTATTGTCTCTGGAAAGTGGGACATATATTGTGTATTGTCTCAGAGTGCTGATCCCACCAAAAATTCCTTCAATACGCGGGATATCTGACTGTATCAACAAACAAAAAAAATTGCTTGGAAAAGACAAATCCGAGAAAGTGGATTTTCTCACTAACCAAGGAAATACTGATACCAGGTATTAGTCTCAAAATAAAGACAATACAAGAAATACCAAATACATGTCTTGTCTCAGCTTACCAACAGAGTTATTGAGTGTGATCACTCCAACTTGGAGTCCACCCGCACACACTACACACCACCACTTCAACTCACACCCGGCAATCTACACTGGTGCGACTGAATGTGGTTTGATTAGCTAACTTGCCAATTCACGGGAGTTAAAACTTGCTTCAACTTATCAAACCAATAATGATGCTCTAATTTCACAAATCATATTTTTGGGTGATGAGTGGCAAATTCCACAACTACCCCGGGGTTTTATAATTTTACAAACCATATGTCTTGCAAAATGTGGTTTGTAAAATAGTAGCAACCCATTCAAAATTTAGCATGGTGGACCAGTTATAAAAGTGACACAAGGAAACACAGTGAATCTTGTGAAAGATTACAAAAAGCCAATAAAGCAACAGGCAAAATATATGGATTACTAGAAAGATGCTGTTTAATCAATATGTATTTTTTTACTGGCCTGCCTCCAGGAGGACCAAATCCTTTTAATGCTGTACTAGTGGTAGACCAGTTTTCTAAGAGAGCAATATTTCTCCCTTGTCACAAAGAAGATACAGATATGGACACAGCATTACTATTCTGAAACTCTATTATATATGATGTAGGATGCCCCAGATATATTATTACAGACAGCAATCCTAAATTTAACTCATAATTTTGAGAAATTTATATGACTTATGTGCAACACTGATGTACAGTGGGTGGACCATTATTGTTGGCTGCTTGTTTTGGGTTCTGTGGCTTCAAAGCACAAGCTTCAAGTCACAAGACTTGGTGAATTGGTGCAGAATAGGTCCCAGAAAATGAAAATGAAGAAATAAAAACAAAAAACAAAGTTTCAAAATTTGTGAAAAATAAAAAATAAAAATATTTTTTCCCAACAGCTTTGTTATTGATTTTGGGAGAGTGGGAGTGCTGAGAGAAAGAAAGAGTGGAACATGGCAAGAATGATTATAAATTAAAAAATTGGAACTAAGAAAGGGTGAGCCAGGTTGGCTGTCCAGATTGAATCCAAAACAGTAAATTCTAGTGCTTTACTACAATGTGAGCTGGTGCATGCCCTACTCAACAGCTGTTTAAAACCAACTGGTAAACATTTTTTTAGAATTTTCATTTGTAATCATTCTTACCATTTTCCATTCTTTCTTTGTTCCAGCACTCCCACTCCCCCAAAATGAATATCAAAGCTTTTGGAAAAAAAAAACATTTTGATTTTTTATTTTTCACAGATTTGAAACTTTGTTTTTTGTTTTTATTTTTTCATATTCATTATTTGGGACCTATTATGCACCACTTCACCAATCCGTGTGACTTCAAGTTTGTGCTTTGAATCTCTGAAATCCAAAACAAGCAGCCAAAAATAATGGTTCACCCACTGTACATATCCATAATGTTGTTTACGTTTACCTCTTGTTATCTTATTATTATTCTTATCTTATTATATTTTATCTTATCATATTTCATCTTATTCATATTTGTCTTATTCAACAATTGCATATGAACTCAAAGCATTACCTTATCTTTTAATTACTTATCAATTGAATACATAAGTAATTATCAATTATATTTCACTCCCTTATCCGTGAAATACCTGTACTGCAAGCTGCACTTGTTCTACAGTCATCTAAATATCATTCCAAATAAATATGTACTAGTATTGAATGTTATTCATTAATTAGCGGGGTTCTCATTTGAATTTTTTGCTTCTGACCCTACTTAAAATTTGTTCTGGTCACTTTGTTTTATTATAAAATTGAGAACTTGCTGATCACCCTCTGGACACAACAACTCAACTGAGCAACACCTACATTTTGCTGAGGTGTTGTACAGGACCCAAATAAAAGATCCTGAGGTCCTTGGCTTGATTGGTCACATGCTGGTGAAGTGAGTTACAAAAAATGCTTAAAAAGCTTATTTTATGGGTTTCTGAGGCTCACTTAACTGGCATCTGGAAAAATCCAAATGTGAACCCCACTATTGCTAACTAGAGACTAAGGCGGCTGCGCCGCTGTACTTGAGGTTCTAATATTAAACTTTAAATTGATTTTGTTTTCCTTTCCTTTTTGATTTGAATTATATTGAAATCTGTCTTAAAATGGATGGGAAAATCCACCTCAAGAATGTCCACCTATCTATTTTTGATTTTATACCTTTCACATCCCCCCATAGCACAGGCAGATCTACTCTGAATTTTATCTTCTGTTGATGATTTCACATCCTTTTCAAGATTTTTATACATATACTTTATGATAAGTATTGGGAGCACAGACTAAAGCAACAAATGAATGTTCAAATTAGTTTTTAGACCCTCTGACAAAATTTTCAAGTTCAACTTTTACAAAACTTAACAAATTTTCAATCCCTTACCTTTTTCTCATTCTCTTCCCCTGGTTATTGATGCAAAAAAATAGTTTAACTTGACAAAATTGATTGATTTTATTTGTTTGGGTTGCTTTGGTTTTCTTATCACAAAAAAATTACAAGTTGATGATATACTAAACAGATGGTTTATTTAAGAAAAGTCTATTGTTATGTATCTGATCAATATCAACATGTAAGAAGGTCACATATAATATATGTGGCTGTCCTATTTTACACCTTCAACTATCTAAATGTACAAATCAGTACATTGGGGCTTTTATAAGAGTGAGAGATGGACTGTCTGGATGTTCTGGTCAGAATTTGGTTAGGTCGTATGCTTATTTGTGGATGATTACCCAACATGATCTCGAGTTGCAACGATTCTTGATCTCCTCTGCACTTAGTTCTTTCATCTTTTCTTGGGCTGTTAAGTGACTGCTGGTCAATAATCTCCTTCCTCCTCCTCTCAACGGTCAAACAGATATTAGCTGAGTATTGATATTGGGTGGTATTGCCTATGAATACCACCCAATATTTGGGCTAAGTATAGTATTGGGCCCTTGGCCCAATAATTTTTATTCATGGGCACATGTATTGGGCAGCCAATAAAATAAACTTTATTCATCATTAATCTATTGGCTTGGCCAATAAAATAAAATAATATACTTCAAAATTATGAGTGTGGATTTCAAAAACCTATTTTATATTCTTTTTTATTCTTTTTTCTTATTTTTATTTTTTTTTATTTTTTTTTTTTTCATTTTTTTCATTTTTTTTCATTTTTTTTTTTCATTTTTTTTCATTTTTATTTCATTTTTTTTTTTTTTTTTTTTTTTTTTTCATTTTTTTCTCTTTTTTCTCTTTTTTTTTTTTCTTTTTTTGTCTGTTTATTTCATATCATTTTCTTACTTTTTTCTTTGAGATTTCCCGTCTATCCAATCCACCATCCATGGTATTCTTCACATGATACTATGATGATTGGCTTTCATGGCTTGTATGCTTCTAATTGCACCAACATGCCCCTCCCCTTCTAACATTCATCATTGCAATCCACTTTGACGTCACACAAAAACAATCATTATTGCCCTTTGCTCACTCGCTAGAGTCAATTCAAGCCTCAGATTGCCACTAGTCTCCCATTTGCACCTTGATATCCTCTATTCTGAGCACACATCATAGTTGAATCATAACAATCATCAAAGTCTGACCTGATGTTTGCCCTTTTTTTTTTGTGGGTGGATCAGTGGAACAGCTAGTCAAATGGGCTCCACTCTCATTAGTGATGGAATATATCTGATTGATCAAAGAGACAATGATGGT